GTATTCTTGTGGATTCAAGAATTTTCGTCTACTAGAATAATATCTAGTCTCATGTGATTTATTCCGCTGCGTCAAGAGCGAAAAATACTGTGACGTTGACTGAGGTCCTCAGTTTTTGGTGTAAATAGAACCCTTTGAACTACACAGTTGACTCGTACTCCTTCTTCTCTGGCGAGTTCAGCACCTTCATACTGATCACCCTCATATTCTGCATCTCCATAATCTCCAATTTCATCTTCTTCTTCAACTAAGGTAGTAGTCCTTCTTTCTAGGCACATATTAGAGCGATGGCCAGGCGTACCACATCTATAACACTTATCCATTGTTGGTTTGGCATAAGGATTTGTGTTTCGAGGTGCCTCTCTGCTACTTGAACCGGTCATCTGGTTTCCTCCTCCTCCACCAGTGGTACTCCTCTACTGATTTATTGGAATTGTTGGTTGGGTAACCCTTTTTCCTTTTTTCCTAGTAGGAAACAATGAATCAGGAAGGTTCCAACAACATCCAGAATAGGTTATCTTGCGCTCCATTAGCTCGGCTTTAAGAGCCATATTATGTGCTTCATCCACAGTCCACACTACTGATAACCCCATCTTCTCTCGAATGGTTAATTTCAATCCATTGAGATACCGGGCTACACGCTGTCCTTCGGTCTCATTCAGAATATTGCGATCTGAAAGTCGGCAAAATTCAGTTGTATAATCAAATACAGATCGGCTTCCTTGGTTGCAATTTTGGTACAACTGAAACAAGTATTGATCATAATCTGGTGGTAAAAATCTGTCTTGGAGGAGTTGTTTCATCCGACGCCAAGTCCGTACAGATTCTTTTCCTTGCCGATGCCTATTTTTCTGTAATTGATCCCACCATACCGCAGCACCTCCTTTTAGTTTGTATGCCACCAATTTCACCATCTTTGATTCTGGAACATCCATCATCCCAAAAAATCGCTCCACCTCTGAAAGCTAGTCAAGAAAATCTTCAATATGTAGATTTCCATTGAATTGGGGAAGATCTATCTTCATTCGATACTCATCGAACCCTTGTTGTTGTTGCCTTCGGGGTTGATAGTTGGCTGGAAGTGGTTCAAACTCTGGTTCAGACTCCTCCTCACTATCAGATGGACAACGAAGGGGACGTCTAGGAGCATTCTGAATAGGTTGACCTCGGGCAAATCCTCCGGTGCGCACTCTGTTTTGGTTAACAGGTTGGCCTTGGGCAACTCCCTCAGCACGGACCCTATCAACCATTGGTGGCCTGTTGTTGGCATTGAGATTCAGGCCAATAAGCAGATCACGAATTTCGTTCAACTGCTCTTGTTGTTTCTCATATGCTACCCACAGGGCCTCGCCCCTACGATCACCGTTAGTAGGGTTTGCATGATCTACTCTGTCTTGTGCCATAGAGCCAGGTGAATCCTTACTCTGATACCACTTGACGCAGCGGAATAAATCACACGGGACTAGATATCGTTCTAGTAGACGAAAATTCTTGAATTCACAAAAATACCCTTGAATCCACAAGAAAGATAGCGGAAAAGCTCTTAAAAATATTTTTGAATGAATGAAAATTACATATGCTTGTAGGCTTATTTATAATAGACTATACCTAATACTTGTAGGAAAAGTGATTCCAACGTAAACTAGGAAACTTAAATCAACACAAATTAAGAAACCTAAGAGAATTAGGAAACATAAGAGACTAAAATTCTAAACTATTTAAAATCCTAGTCAAAATCTAATTCTAAAATAATAAAATTAAGAAACCTACTAATTCAAAAATATTTATACTAAATTACAAGAATCCTAATAATTCATCAAAAATGTTAAAACTAAAAATATAAAAATTCTGAAAATCTTGTCCTGAAAATCTTGTCCTACATCAGGATTGTTTTAAAAACTAACTATTTTAATTTTTTAGAAAAAGACATACAAATGTAATAAGTTTTTTTTAACTTTTTAATTACTTTAAGAAAAATGATCCGGACCCCATTTTCATCCCATACCCTTGGCCCCCTCTCTCACTGATTAGCTAGTTTTTCTTTTCTTTTTTTTTTTTTTTCCTCCTCCTCCAATCATCATCCATCACGTGTGTGTGAGGTGGTGGGAGTGGTGATTGGAAATGGTCTCAATCACTTTCCTTATTTTAATATGTTTCCAAATTTGCTTTAAATCTGCTCGTCGTAGAAATCATGAGCAACCCCATTGAATCACATGTAATTATTTCATAATTTCAAAGTATAAACACATGATATTCTATAATATTATGAGTGATGAAAAAAGTAGCTAGATAGGATATTGTATTGAGTGATTAAGGAACATGGAGATATAATAAATAATAATTGGTTATGAAGTATGAACACATAATATTTCAAAAATATTTTATAATTTTTCCTAAACCACGATGAGTGGAAGTGGAATTAGTTAAGCCTCCCTTCCGCGGGTGATTATTCAGTAATTCTATAATAAGGACACGTAATATTTCACAATATTGTGATTGTTGAAGAATATGAATAAGTAGGATATTAAATTAGATGATTAAAAAATATGAGAAACATATTAAGGCCTCGTTTGGGAACAGGCTAATTTAGTAACTTTTTGGCTATTTGGCTAAAAAGGTACGTAAAAAAAACTTGTATGTTTGGGATGACTTTTTGGGTAATTACGAAAAGATGTGCAAAAAGTAGAAAGAAAAGAGAATCTTTAACTTTTTGATATGAATTGTTGACTTTTTGATTAATTTAATAACTTTTTAACTAATTGACTAAAAAAATAAATCTCCAAAAAAGGCCTAACTAAGATATTAAATTAGGTAGGAAGTAGACACGTAATATTTTTAGAATATTTAATAATTCTCCTCCGCCTGGCTGGCGGTCCCCTCAGCCACCCAACGCGGTTTCTTTATTGATGGCTCCTCCTACTCGAGGTAGCTGCTTCCCACTTACGTGTATTTGTCCAGAAATTGACAACTTATTGGTGGTCCTTGGCATGATGTCTTAATTGTATTGGTGCCGTTTGGTAACACTTATGTTTTTAATTTTTTGTTTATATTTTTAAAAATTTAAAAATTTTAAATAAAAATTTATTTGGTAAAATTTTTGATTTATAAATCAGTTGAAAAAAAAAAAAGATTTTTTAGTTTAATAGAACAAAACATTACATCTAACTCATAATTATTATATGTTTTCTCTCACAAAAAAATCAAAAGTCTTTATCAAATCAGACTTTTTAGTCCTAGGTTAAAATAACCAAAAGATCCAAAAGTCAATTCACTTTCCAAACCAAGCCATAATTTTGTGTGTAGTGATTGGTGGACAATTAAAAATGCAGTAATTTGTAATTGATTAAGAATATGATCACATGGTACTTCTTAATTACAAAATAATTTTTTCCAAAAACTTCCTTTACAGATCATCTGGAATTTTGAACGGCTGGAGTTTTGAAGATAAAGAGGCGACATTATTAAAGGTTGGTTTGGGATGTTTTAGAAAAATGTACTTTTTGATTTATTGGCTTATATGGATTGGGTTTGATGTGATGTGTTAGAGAGATGATGTGACTTAAATAAGATAGTGACTTTTTGACTTTTTGTATTATCTAAATTATTCCAAACTTAACCTAAATTAAAAGGATCCAATGATTCAAAAAAACAAGACACGTATGCAAGAGGGTTTCTTCCTCCAAGGTGATATACTCATGCATAGTGGGTTTTTCCTCTCCAAATTTTTTTTTATTTGGTAAGTTAAAAAATGTCGGGTATGTTTGGTTTGAGTTTGGGAGATGAGTTTTAGAGATAAAAAGTACGAAAAGTTGTTTGGTTTGGTTTTTTTCAAAAGATGTTTTGAAAAATTATTTTGAGAGAGAGTTTTGAAAAAAAGTGATTGATTTGATGTGTATGAGAGAGAGATTTGTTTGAAAAACTTATAAACCAAACAAGTTTTGGAAAATTTTTTTGGGAAAATTTGTTTGGTTTGATTACTTTTGAAAACTTATTTGTAGAGAATTTTTTCTAAAAATTTTTGGGAAACACAAACCAAACAAGTCCATCATGTGTCAAGTTAAAAGGATCCAATGATTCAAAAAAACAAGACATGTATGCAAGAGGGTTTCTTCCTCCAAGGTGATATACTCATGCGTAGTAGGTTTTTCCTCTCCAAAAATTATTTATTTGGTTAAGTTAAATAATATCATGTGTCGATACGTTCAGCTAATAATATTCTTTAGTTTGTGTATTTTAGAAGGGTGATCTCTTGGGCAAGATCCTAAAGAGAAGAAAATTTAGAAGTCACACTTAGGTAGTACTATATAGGGGTCTTTTGAGAAGTTAAAAAAAAAATAATTTTTAATTTTTTACTCATTTTGAGTTATATCACCATTCACATTTTTTATTTACAAAAAGACAAAATAAACTAAAAAAATAAAAAAGTTAACTTTTTACTAACTCTTCAAAACACCACATAGTAGAATCATATAACCATGTAGTTATAAGTCACGACCTTACACATAAGCAAAAATTCGAACCCACACTCTTAACACTAGGTATGCTTCGCCTAAATTTAGGAGGGAAAAAAATAATTTATCCTATCAATTATATGTGCTGTTGCCCAAATAACTGATCCGAAAAGAATCAGCCATGAGACCTAGAGGATTATACCCCGAGGCCATATCAGGTCGGCTAGCCCCTTGGGTTCAAAATTTACTTGCATACTACAAAAATAAAAATGTGACAAGACAACCAATAGATAATGCCTGCTTGCACTAGACGTTATAAAATTTGGCAACAAGGGCTGACATCAATTATGAACCACTTACCAAATACGCGTGTTTGGTTGTAGTAACTTGTTTGACATTTAACTTTTCACAGCTAAGCCCATAAATATCTGATATCTATATCTGTCTGTCCAGCTATGCTAAAACTTTGGCCCCCCAACACTGACTCTTGCTTCAACAGAAGAGCCTCTCTCTCTCTCTCTCTCTCCCCCTATAAATACAGTTTCCCACAGACCCAATCTCTCATCAACTCAAAACTCATCACTGCAAGCAATCTTCAATCACATTCCTATAAAACTCTTTTCTTTTCAATACCAACCACAAAATCATCAATGGCTTCTTCTTCTTCTTCTAGCTCAGTATTGTATATGATAACTGCAATTGTATTAACCTCTGTATTGGTTGTTGTCTCAGCTAGTAACTTCAATCAAGACTTTACCCTCACATGGGGTGATGGCAGGGCTAAAATCCTGAACAATAACCAACTTCTTACCCTTTCGCTCGACAAAACCTCTGGCTCAGGCTTCCAATCCAATAATGAATATCTATTTGGAAAGATAGATATGCAGCTCAAGCTTGTGCCTGGAAATTCTGCTGGCACTGTCACTGCCTATTATGTATGTTCTTCTTACTTAATATTTACATCAATCAATGTTTTTCTAGATATATGATTTTATAATTAATATGTAAATTTTATTCTTGTATTGCAGTTATCATCACAAGGATCAACCCATGATGAGATTGACTTTGAATTTTTGGGTAATTTGAGTGGTGATCCTTACATTCTTCACACTAATGTGTTTAGCCAAGGCAAAGGCAACAGAGAGCAACAATTCTACCTATGGTTTGATCCCACTGCTGATTTCCACACATACTCTATCCTCTGGAACCCCCAACGCATTATGTAAGTACCCTAAAAACAGTGAAAATTGACATTGCTCTCAATTTTACATTTAAAATTTTGTATTGATTGAATAATTTTTTGTCCCCATTTCAGTTTCTCTGTTGATGGAACACCCATTAGAGAGTTCAAGAATGCAGAGTCAGTTGGTGTTCCATACCCAAAGAACCAACCCATGAGGATATACTCCAGTCTGTGGAATGCTGATGATTGGGCAACAAGAGGTGGACTTGTCAAGACTGAATGGACAAAAGCTCCATTCACTGCTTCATACAGAAACTTCAATGCCAATGCTTGCATTTGGTCTTCAGGATCATCTTCTTGTTCTTCTTCATCATCTAATAGCAATGCGTGGCTCTCAGAACAGTTAGACTCCACAAACCAAGGAAGATTGAAATGGGTGCAGAAAAACTACATGATATACAATTATTGCACTGACTCAAAAAGATTCCCACAAGGATTTCCTCCAGAATGCAGCATGTCATAAAATATTAAACACAACCAAACTGTATATCACTTCCACTATTAACATCATTTATTATTTAATCTTTATCATTGTAATTGCTCTTAAAGCCAATAAAATAGATCATTGCTTTTCTGTATTATCCACAATGATGTTTGAGTCTTTGTGATTAATCTCTTCCTCCATTTTGGAGTAAAATGGCTTAAAACAATTATCTGCAATTGAATGAAATTATTTTTTTTTCAAGCAAGATAGTGGAAATTATTTTTCCTCTTGTAACTAGAGTTGTGAACAAGCCAAGTTGAGCTACCTAATAAATTGTTTAAATTTGAGAATGTCTTTGAACCTCATCTTATTATTGTTTGAGCTCAAAACTGGATTGATTTTGTCAGTTTACTTTTAAAACACTGATTGATTTTTAACGTTTCATATATATATATATTGTGTGTGTCAATTTTCGACTACACTGTCAAACTAGTACTTAACTGGAGAGCACCGGCAGAATAGATTAAACCCGAACGACCTGTCAATAAAAAAGAAGAGATTCTGGCGGTAGTTCGTCTACCCGGGAATACTCCGACGATCAAGTCAATTATCTCTCAAAGATAGCAAAAGTGCTTAACTCACTATTCAGAGCATGAAAAGCATACCTTAGACCAATGGGGGTGTCTCTCTTTTATAGCCAACACTTACCTTTATAGCCAACACTTACCTAATCCCAATAGAAGTCTAGTTTCAATGGACTTAGGATTACTGCTAATTTTGGACTCTTAGTGGGATTGGGATAAACTCTCTAAGAGTCTTATCTTTACCCAAACTGAAGTCCTTTCTCATTTTAGGACTCTTGTCCCTTATCCGTTTATCTCGGATTCCGATATCTTCGGAGATAACCTCGGCCTAACCGAGATCACCTCGGCGTCATGACCAGGACACGTGGCACCTCGACTGACACGTCGGCGTCACCTTGGCCACGTGTTGGTATGCAGAAAATATATCCCCACAACTGCCCCTTAGGTTCTATTACCTTGGCATTCTGAGGTGATGGAACCTATACCAGAACTTCCTATCAATACATCGGTTTAAAGTCTCTTAGCCGAGATCATCATATAGGCCGACATGTCTCTTTAAGGTTTAAAGTTTCGAAGATCTCCTTCACGCGTATGAGCTGTCATGCAAAATAACTCAACCGTTTCAGCCACACGTCTCCCTTTTACTGGATCATACTCCGTACGCGTTTGCAAGTCGTCTTGCGCCTACATGCGCCGTCTGAAAAATCCGTTTTTCTAGGCTCATCAATTTCTTTTTGCCGCCTTTTCACGTTTTTGGACAAAACCAGTACCCCTTCTCTTCGTCTCTTCACTTTTCATCGTTTCTGTAGCTTTCTCTCTCTCTAGCTTTTTCAAATCTTTCATTGTTCCAAGCTTTCAAGCTCTGCTACCACCGTTGTTCACCTCCTCCGGTGAGACTCTTGCTACTCTTCTCCGCTGCTGCCGTTCGTCTGACTTTGGCGAACTCAACACCGGCTTCTTTCCTTTGGTGAGTTATTGTTTCTTCCCGATTTTAGTTATTGTCGTTCTTCAAGAAGTTTTGCTTCATTACCTGCCATTGTCGTCTTACTCAAGTATTTGATTTATGAATCACGCATCTGAATGTGCTTATTTCATGATTTTGCTCTTGCCCATGTCTTGAATGCACGTACTGCCCACAACTTTTCTGCACTTTTGCCACTGTTCTTGTCCTTATACCCTTTGTACTTACAATGTTCTTGATAGTTCATCTTTGTTCTTGATTCTGAAGCGCATTCTTGCTTTTCTGTTTTCTAGATTCGTGCCTTTAATCTTTGTTTCCATAGATCTAGGTTTGGGATTTGTTTATAGAACCCACAAATTCTTATGAAAAATCGAAAACGATCCCCACAATTTCTTACCCCACAAATTTTTAGGTTTTTACCGAGGTCCCAATAACCCTTTCAAAACACATTCATTCTGAAACCCAGTTCCTCCTAGTTGGGCCGATATCATGGGTATGTGAAAACATAGGGTAAACACCCCGACTAAGTTAGATCACTTTAGGCGCGAGTTTGACATCTCTGCCGACGTCCATCTGAGGTTGGCTGGGGAGGATGACTCTATCATGCCCACAGTCGATTCCATGCCCCTCCCTGTTGTAGCTTTCATTGAGTGCAAACTTCGGCTCCCACTTAATATCCTTTTTCGTGAGATCATTCACTACTATAAGTTGAACCCAATGCAGCTTGCCATCAACTCTTACCGAGTCATTAATGGCATCATAGCCTCAGCCAAACAAGAAAACGTTAGGGTTACCTTAGCCAATATCCAGTATTGCTACACCATGTGTGGCCTCAAAAAAGACACGGGCTACGTTTACTACCTCAAGCCGACATCCACAGAATATAAAATCGTAGTCGACCTCCCAGACTTCAACAAGGGAGCTGGAGACGATTACTTCATTACCTCGGGGAACTGGGAGTTCACTCCAGATGAGGACCTTCATCTCTACCCTCTTCTTCGATCAGTTTTTGTAGAGGGCAATGCTAAGAGCCCTGTGTTCATACTGACTTGTTTTTAAAGCCTTCAATACTTTGTTCGCTCTAATGTCTGTTTTTCTTGCAGCTCTTCTTAAGCTACCAAAGGGCTTCCGACAGTCTTTCTTTCCCAGTAAAGACTTGAAGAAGTTACTGGATCGGCCAATTCACAAACGGAAGGCCCCTCTTCTACTCAATTTCATTCCTACCTACAAGTCAGCTCTTCCCGACGTCCCCAAGAAGAAGAAGAAAAGCCTTTCTCCGCCTTCCGCTACAACTCCTTAAGCTGCCTCCACATCTCGGCCAGATCAAGGATCAACTTCTGACCCAGCAGATCAGCCATCAACTTCGGCTCCATATCTGATCTCCATATCCTAGTGCCGTCGACGACGCCGAACAGTTTTTGCTGCTGAAATGGGCCGCCAAAAAGCAGTTGCCAAAAACCTCTTAGCCAGCATCCCTACCGCTGTTGACGTTCAACTAGCACAAACCCAGCCTCAGCCAAAGCAGAAACAAAAAAGAATTAAGAAGGCCCAGCCAAAGGCAAAGGTGACTCAGGTTGATACTGATGATACCTTGCCAATCTCCAAATTGGCTAAGAGTGACAAGTCCCATTCTGCCGCTGAGAAGACGCCTGTCGAGGGCCAACCATCCGAATCTACCCGATCAAAGAGACCGAGGTCATCTTATACAACCACCTCGGGGTCTCTAAAGCACGATGCCCCCTGGGCCCCCCAAATCACACTGGAGGATAAGCCAGTTAGGGCTAGTGATAATGCCGATGACATAAACGTCGGCGTTGCCCTTAGTACTACTCTGCTTCTTCCCGGGGATCTCGACCGAAATGCTGAGTTAAGTGAATATGAAAACTATGCTCTGATGCTCCAGCGCTCTGTCTAAGTGAGTGTCTTTATTTGGTCATTTTTCTTTCTTTCTTTCTTGTACTTAGAAAATTTTCTAATAACTTTTGTCTTGTTCACTTTCAGGCCATCCAGCATGTTCATTCCTTCTCAATACAATCCTTTGAGAACCGGAAAGAATTGGCCGACAAGAAGAGGGAGGCTGCTAGCCTGCAAAAGACTAATAAAAAGCTTGCAATCCAAGATGAAGACCTCGGAGGATCAAGCCAAGACTGCTATCAAGGCCCAAAATGTCACCGAAGAAAAATCAGAATCCGCCGAGGCCATTAAGAAGGTTCTTGAGGCCAAAAAGAGAGAGGCTGAAGAAAAGATGACTTAGGCCCGGAAGGAACTTCAAGAAGCCCTGGCCACAAAAGAGGCAGAAGTCAAGGCCGCCGATGAGAAGGGCTATAACGAAGGGGTGGTCGATGTCACGGCAAACTATGAAAAGCAAGTGAAGCATGCATGCAACAAGGGTTTCACCCTGGGTTAGATGTCTCTTCTAAAAAAGCTTGAAGTCCCCGAGGACTCGCCCCTTAGGAATGCCGACGTCATTCCTCTTCCATTCCCTCCAACTCCAAGTCAAGCTGAAGACGAATCTGAGTCCGAGGAGGAGACCTTGGTGAGGAAATCAAAGGAGGCTGCTGGGACCAAGTCCCCTTCTCTAAATGAGCAAGTCCTGGACTTGACTCAAGGTGAGGAGAGTGAGGAAGTCCCCAAGGATGCCACTCCTGAGAATGCGTCATCAGATGTGCTCCTTGCCAACAAGAGCCTCGATCTAACCCTTCAAGAAATTGACGCCGAGCTTGCGGTTGAGAAGGCTGCCGAGGTGTCTTCTCAGCAGTCCTCCGAAGTCCAAACCCAGCATGCTAATGATGCTGAATAATCTTAATTTTATGTTTTTCTCTTTCTTCTGTGCTCTGTACTTTTGTCTTTCTTTTAAAACAGTGTAAGCTCTTCATATGGCTAAAGTGCCTTCTTATAAATACAACTTCTTTGTTTTGAACGTTTGTATGTTTGCCTTCTTTTTACTACTCTTGTATGATTCCATACTTAGAATATTTTGCATATCTTTAATATACACTTCAATCTTGTGCAACCTTCTCGGGGTGACACACCTCGGTTATATAAACTGATGATTTTCCTCGGCAAGTACCCAAGTATCTTTCTTGGTACAACCTTGGTTTCACTTGTAAATTTTTTCATAAAATTTCAACAAGTGTTTAACCTTGGTTTAACTTCAACTTGTATATTTTTCTCAAGTTTCAACAAGTGTGAAACATGTTCTCGGTTTAACTTCAACTTGTAAACTTTTCAAGTTTCAACGAGTGTTAAACATAATATCGGTTTAACTTCAACTAGTAAACTTTTTAAGTTTCAACAAGTGTTAAACATAATCTCGGTTTAAGTTAAACATAATCTCGGTTTAACTTCAACTTGTAAACTTTTTAAGTTTCAACAAGTGTTAAACATAGTCTCAGTTTAACTTCAACTTGTAAACTTTTCTCAAGTTTCAACAAATGTTAAACATAATCTCGGTTTAACTTCAACTTGTAAACTTTTTAAGTTTCAACAAGTGTTAAACATAATCTCGGTTTAACTTCAACTTGTAAACTTTTTAAGTTTCAACAAGTGTTAGAACCGTTTTCCAACTCTCTGCCCCCTAATGTGAACTTAAGTTCCACTTGGGTTCTCATTACGCATGTATTCTAGAAACATCGGCGAGTATCTTATCGGTCATAAATGTAGAAGAATTCTGCTAAAATTTTATTCATTACTTCGGCAAAAAACAAGGAAAA